TTGGTGTTGATCCTGGAAAAAGCTCAATTTGAAATTCTAACTCCCTATCAGAAGGTAATCCTAGCAATTCCTCACAAAATAGTTCTGGGAACTCTCGGACAGTCTGAATATCTTCCAATTTTCTTTCCTTGGCTTGAGTATCGATCACATTAGCGATGAAAGTTTAACATCCTTGTAACATTAACTCCTTAACTAATATCATCGATATCACATTAACTAAGGGATTGAGTCTCTCGTTAACCACACTAACTTCTGATCCATCATGACTTCTCAAAACAACTCGCTTTAATCGACAATCAACATTAGTGTGACAATGATACAACCAATCCATTCCTAAGATAACCTCGAACTCATCAAAGGGTAATTCCATTATATTAACAGGGAATTCAATTCTTTGAATCCTTATAGGACACCCTCGACAAATTTGTTTTACCCGAGCATTATGCCCTAATGGGTTAGTCACAATCACCTCACTACTAATAGGTTCTAACTGAATTTTCAAATCATTCGTCAGTTTACTACTAACATAAGAGTAAGTTGATCTCGAATTAATCAAACAGGTTTACCATCTAACTGAAAAGTACCTGTAATGATTTCAGGATTATCACAATCTTCACTGGTCTTAAGGTTGTACACTCGAGCAGTAGATCACACTTCAGGTTGAGTGGTCGACTCAGACTAATTCCTTCCTCCACCTCTACCTCTCAAAGGTGTAATAGCATATCTCTCTATTTTTGCATGCTCTCCGGTCATCATTGGGCAATCCCTACACTTAAAAAATGCTCCTAAAACTCTTCGACATATACCACTATGTTGTTTACCATAATGCTGACATTCATTTGACTTTTCCAGTCCTGCTTTCACTAATTGAGTCTATTACCTTCATTCCTATCTCCCTGATATGGTTGTTCCTCACCTTGCCTACTTGGGGCAAGTGAGTTACTATTACCTTCATTCCTATCTCCCGCTTCACTTCAGGAGCCCTCAAAGTCCAACATCTATTAAGATAAAAACACTATTCTATTAGTAAGGACATCATACTAATTACCTTATTAGATCAGAGATTTTAAATTTTCAGTTGGCATGTACACTTTTTAAAACAAAAATGACATCATTTCGAACTTAAAATATATTAAACCATATCTCTGATACCAATAAATGTAACACCCGTAACCCATATCTGACCCAAATACGAATTCGAGGTGTCACATTGACTTTTCAAATCATTGACTCTTAAAAAGTAATAGAAATTTAATCTTTTATTTGTATTAAAATGGTGGAACCCTTGAAATAAAGTACATAATGAAAACTCACATTCACATTTAAATAAATTACTAATAATGTACATAAATACAACATAATATGTTTTCAAAATAGATCGGAGCATTACAATTTAAAACATTGTAATACATGCCAACAAAATTACAAAATTACAAAATAAAGAACCTACGTTCAAAATTGTTCTAATATGATCCTTTTCAGGAGTATGTTGTCCTCTCCTAACTTTACTCTTCTATTTTCTTCGATCCTACGTGTGAAACAATCACACGCTAAATCGGTAACTTAGTGAGGCAAGTACGAGTAAGATAAAACATTATAAAATAAATTCTTATTCATTTCGTAAAAAACATTTCGTAAGGGATTTAAATTTTCAGTTCATAACAAGACTGTATACTTTCATACATTGTTCAATTTATATAACTTTATTTTTACTATCCTAATGCATACTACTTAGAATTCTAGGTATTTGAGTACATTGAGATTGTGCACTAATGCAATCACTGCTGCTCATATAAATTGCACCAAAGTGCTACATATTTTTCCCGAAGAACTACATAAGATTGTCCCGAACGACCACATAGTTTTGTCCCGATAGAACCCTCGACTCTAGGCATGTCAACTATACCTCTTCTTCTCATAAATATACAATGGGCCTTAAACACATTTATTTATCGTTTCATTATTCAAAGTTTGTCTTATTCTAATAGAGTTCATTCACTTATAAGTCACTTTCACATCGAGCATTTTCATATGAGCATATTCGCATATCACATAGTCATAATCATATACATATAATAAACAAGACATAGCTTAAGAAATATAACTTGAAATAAGCATTTTAATATTGCAATAAAAGAAATAAAACAGTTTTCAATCGAAAACTCTGAGGTTGGCTTATCGTAAGCCGCCCTCGAATCTAAGATAAAACAAAAGAGTTGCACTCACCTTTGCCTCACTAAAGTCCTAAACGAAATCCTTTTATCTTTCACTAAATCACTTTGGTATAACGCTTTGATCGAAATGCTTCTAGTCCAAATCAACACGTAGATTTATCCAATATCAATACCACTTTACATTAATGTATAACCAAAATAGCATTTACAAAGACAAAACTAAAACTCTCTTTAAATTTCCAACGCATTAGTATCGGTACCCCTCCTACAGTACTGATACTTCTCCTCTATGGTACTGATAACCCCTATCAGTATCGATACCATTTTGGCATTTTAGAATTTCATACTTAATAATAGTATCGATATCGTACTCTTGGTATCAATACCCCACTTCAGTATCGGTACTAATTTAATTAGTACCGATATTGTTCATCAAAATCAACCTATTACATTCGATTTAACACTATAGTATCGGTACTGTTCTTCCAGTACCGATACCCCTTGCCCATATTTCATTCAGTTCACTACGAATTTTCCCCCAAATTCGTCTAAACTTCTTACTATTAGCTCCATTCAACTCCTCAAACTCATTACCACTTATCCTAATCAACTTATATTCAATAATCTTCTTATAACATCCAACTTTCTCCACAGAATTCTTAAAACTAAAAGCATGTCATTTATTTAAACATGTTCTAAATCCTTTATAATCCTTCTAACTCATTAATTAAACCATTTACAAGTCAAATTTATCATTAAACATCTAGTATACCAGAGCTCTATCCAGGCAATGCAACCATCCGATGGAAGTGAAGAATGACAAATCAAAAGTCAAGGATATGGTTACTCAGAATGGAAGCTGGGATTGGAATAAACTAAACCCATTAATCCCTGAACGAATTATTAGCATTCTGATGGCTACACCACCTCCAGTGGATGATAACCTATTGGATTCATTGGGTTGGTTTCCCTCGGAGAAAAGGGTGTTTTCAATCAAATCTGCGTACGACATTATTGCAAACAACAACAGTGCAGAGGAAGAAAAGTTATGGGACACCATTGCTAAACACAAAAACATTCCCAGAGTTAAAACTTTTTTGTGGCTTATAGGAAAAAGGAAAATATTGACTAATTCAGAGAGAGCGCGAAGACACATGACTACTGACGAAAGTTACCCTATGTGCGGATACGAGTCTGAGGATATTAACCACACTCTGAGAAATTGCCCAGCATCACTATCGATTTAGGCGTATCTGCTTGAACCGGGGAAGTTGGAGAGATTCCTGAGCAGCAGCATCGACACTTGGATTCTCAAAAACCTAGAATTAACCCAGTCCCCATCATCGAAAATTGAAAACTGGCCTAATTTCTTCAGCTCAACAATATGGAATATCTGGAAAAGAAGAAACCAGACTATTTTTTATCCAGAAACAATAGAAAGAGAGTCAATCATTTAGCAAGCTATTCGACAAACGCAGGAGATACTTCGTTCTGAAAGAACACTCACCGGCAGCGCTAATATCAGAAATAATAACCGAAACAAGTGGCAGAAACCTGAACCAAACTGGTGTAAGATAAACCCAAATGGCACTAGACGGCAAAATAATGGAGAGACAACGTGTGGTGTGGTTCTGAGGGATCACAATGGAAACTGGAGATGGGGATTTGGCAGGAAAATAGGAAGTTGCTCTATACTTGAAGCAGAGTTGTGGGGCATACACGAGGGTTTAAACATAGCTTGGAGGATTGGGGAAAGAAAGGTAATTCTTGAATTAGACAACAAGGAGGCAATTAATTTAATCAATGCAGAGCGATGGAACAAAGGAAATTAACGATATTACAGCACATTGAGAAGCTGCTAAGGAAGAATTGGTTTGTTGATTTAAAGCATATCCCAAGAGAAGCCAATGGTGTTGCTGATTTCATTGCAAAACAAATGTGGAGTCGACAGGAAGACACTATATTACTGCAAACCCCTCCAAGGGAAGTGGAAGAAATGCTAAAATTTGATATATCGGTCAGCTAGGCTGACTTTGTAACCCCATTTCTTAACCAAAAATATATATATGTTATTGTGTAAATCATAAACAAATTGCATGGGAATGCTAAGTGGAGGGGGTGTCTTATATCATTTCTCTTGCCTCGGTTTAATTCACGTCGAAGGCAATTTTACCTTTTTCTTCATGCTTTATTTTTCAATCGGAATAAAAATAATTAAAATTAAATAAATATAAATTAAGAAAAAAATTAATCATATGATGACACATGACATCCTGATTAGGGGATTAAACTTATTTAATTAAACTAAAATTAACATCAAATTGATAGAATATATAAGTATCGAGAGCCAAAAATGTAATTATGCAAATTTCGTTAACAACCACTTCATATCGGATAGTGGCTTAAATGAACTATTTAAATAGTTGAGTAGTATGTTTGATCAAATTAAAATATCAACACTCAAAGTGATTTTTTATCATAGTTTACTCTTGTGTAATTTACCCTATAATTTAATTGAGTACAGTAGAATTTGACAATTCATAAGATACTTTCATATTTGAGATGAATCTTTAAAATATTTTCCAAATTTGCCTACATAAATAAGGTGTACAAGTTTCTCTTAAACATTTTATTATCTCATTATCCATATCCAATTGGCCATTTGGACCATTCATGAACTTTCAATATTCCACTTTCTTTTAAACTCTTTTTGACAAAGTAATAAGATGTATTTTGTATCTAAGTTGAACGATGCTTCCCACTGTGTATATATACATCTGCTTAGAACGGAGTTAAAGCCAAGCACAACGGACCAGACCAGTAATGGACAAATATCCTACTTGATAAGAAAAGGGGACCATACTTTTCCCAAATGAAAGGCAAAACCAAGTTACTCGACTCGAAATGTTGAGTTCCGGCCATTCAATTTACATGATAAAAGTTGTAGTAAAGTTGATATTCAATGCTTTCAACCATTCATGAGGCCATACCAGAAACAAGTACAATGGTGTCTGTGTAGGTTGTGACATCATGAATCCTAGAATTTATATGTGCTAGAATACTAACTAGATCGCAAAGCAATCTAAAAGAAAAATGCACGACGAAAGCAGTAAGGGATTAACCTTCTGATCCAGTCTTGATAATTCTAAATTTATACTTGAATCCCTCGTGTCCAACGCATTTTGATCTGATATAACCAATAACCGCAGGACAGCTCTTTCTATACATGCTTCTTGTTATTTGGATATATTAAAAGTTGTGTCCACCAAATACTTCACCAGACCCTCTCAGGCTTTCTTCAAGTTTTAATGCGCTACGGATCTACGGAACTGAATCCTAGGAAGAAAAACCTTCTTTGTAGTCATAGTTGTATAGAGAAACTACCTTTAGGTTTCGTCTTCACGTGCTACGCAGTTGACCATATGATGGTTGCAAGCATTCTTCTGGGTTGGCATAGAAGTAGTCCTCTTCTTTAGGCCTGTCAGGAATCACCGATCGTCGTGTCGGTTGCCCCTTGTGACTTGCATGAGATTCTTTCACAACATTTGAGAACTCATTCCAAGTTAGGGATCCACTATTGTACTGATCTATCAGATCAACTAAAAGCCTTCTGTCCAATAGAATTGTATGCTTGTACCCCAGAAATCTGAATAAGCATTCAAAACAATAATTGTTACATTTATGTCAAAAGATGTTAACAATAAAAACGATAAAATATGCAAGAAAATCGCTTGGGAAGTAACGTTATGGAAAGCTATTTCAAAAAAGGGTACTTGTAACATTCCTTGGCTCATGTTACAACCATTGAAATTCTACGGCCGGAAAAAGAAGGAAAAAGTTTAGCAATTGTTTCGAGGCCAGAGCTAGACAAACTATTGTCCTCTTAACGGTAGAGATAAAAATGGAGATGATAGAATGTGGGTGAAATACAATTTCATAAACTATTCATCTCATCTGAAGAAAAAAGAATCACTGAATTATTTTAATTATAGCAAGAAATATTCCAAACATATTAAGGGCAAAATTATTAGTAGAACAGTACCTGCGATGGCCTTCAACAACTTTAGCCATGTTTCCATCATATGTAGGAATGAAAATATCACTCTCCAATGAAACAAGATAATCTAATGCTGCCATCTGGGACGAATGATTTTGAAAAAACCCAAGGTCTGATGGCTCCAATAGAGTCTCCTTTCTAACCTGGTTTAACAAACAAAAGGCCAATCATTGATACAGGAGAAAAAGAATTCTAAACATCAATACATTTCATTCTCGGATCTTCGACCTACCAATCTGGGATAAGAAGCAGCAAGACTTGCCATTCTCCGATTTCCACCATATATTTCACCAGCTGCAATATAGATTTGATAACTATTATCAATGTCCAGCGCCCTCAATATGAGGGCAGTTTCCTCAGGCGTCAAAGGGCACAAACCATCCTTCCTTTTCAAGTCAGAATTTATTATTTTTTCTTTCCACCAGGGATAAGCATATCTGCCAAAAGAAGTTGAGGATGCTGAGATTTAACTTTAAAATTTAGGCTTGCTGGTCATTTAATTGTTAAAGATGCTTGTAAACCTCACCTCATTCTTGTCAACTCCTCCACCTCCTCATTGTTGCAACCTTGGGTACAGCCTGAAAATGCCAACATGTCCATTTCATATCTGAGATGAAGTACTATAAAAGGACCATTTTGCCTCAGAAGCTTAATAACTCGTTTGCCTAAGTTCTCTATCTGAGAAGTGAATCTCAAAGCACTAAAATTTACACGACATCGCAGCTTCTGAACATCTAAAGGCTGCCCATTGTTGGCAAGTCGAGTATCAGTTCTATTCAGATGTACTACTTTATGCTTCTGTATCAGAGGAAGAATCTGCAGGTAATAGAGAACAGACATGCTATTTTAAGAGGACTCTCTTGGAGGAAGGAAAAGAACTGGGCAAGTGTAGAACATGTTTTAAAAAATAAACAAATTAAATTACACCAAAGCCTAAAAATTCCATGAAAGACTTTGTAATGTCAGAGAATCGACCTGGTTACGGTAGTAGGATATATCAGACCAGCTAATTGGTGGCATGGAATACACCATCCCCATTTCAACTCTCCTCTTAAGCCTAGGAGGCAGCTCCTTCAATATACGAACTTCATCTCTCAATGAGGTAATAAAATGCTCCACATCAAATATATCTTGAAATTCACTGCCATTTCAATAAAAAAAGGTATATTCAGAGATATTTAAGAAAAATGATCCCAGTTCACCGGGAATATATTTAAGGTCACCCAAACCAATCAAGTGGCCTCAGTGATAAACAAAATATTGTTCTCCTTAAAAGTCCTGGGTTCGAGCAACTCTGTTTACAAAGTGTGTGCATTGTCAATTGGTTAAGAAAGTTCTAAACAGATACTACACTGTAATCACCCTGGACTATTCAAAAAGAAAATTTAAGATCACCCTTTCCAAAGATAAATGTGAGCGAAACTTAGTTAGCACACCTGGGATCAGCCCAGAAGGATGATTTATCCAGCTCCGGAACTATAAGTGTGACATTCAAATATCTTGCAATGGTAACCATATCACAAATCTGTCAAACACAGAATCAGTTTCCACATGGATTATACAACAAACAACTCTTGAAGTTACATAATCTAGAAAGAATTTCAAAGAATATATATATATGTGATTGGATAGAACACTCACAGCTGCTCGCATTTGATTGAGACCTCCATTACATGAAACCATCAAGTAACCATTGTTCTTGTATACCCCTAATGTAAAAAAAAATCATGTCAAATTCGAATCCAATTTCAATAACAATACACACACGAACACACGAAAGTACCAATGATTCCTAACACTTAGATTTAAAAAAAAAATCCTGAGACATTCGATTTGGGAGCATTAAATTTATATAAATTCAATCTGCGTCGTCATATCAAAAGAAAGATTAAGAGCAGAGAACTCACTTTTGGGAGGAAGTACACGAGCAGGAACGGAGGGGACTTTGTCTTCAATGACAGAGAAGGATGAATCCTGGTGAGTGAAACAGGAAGGCCATCCTTTAAGGACGCGTGGTCCCCACGTCTCCCCTACCGCCGTTAATTGTACGATGCAAGTCCAAAGCAACACCGATGCGGTGGCGCGTATCATCCACAGCTTCATTCTCGAGCTCTTCAGCTTTTCGACTCTCTCCCCTCCGCTTTTCATTATCCCCATTCTCATCCCTCCCTTCCTCACTTTCCCTTCAACACTGCACATTTCCAGCAATCTCCGATCTCCTCCACATCCCCCACCCCACGATTACTACACCGCTTTATTCCATTTCAAATTCGATCAATGCAGGTATCCCAATTAACCAAAAAATCTCTTGCGTTTCTTCTAATCTTCCAAAAATAAAACCTAGCAGGATCTTGGAAGATCCGATTAAGCTCTGAAGATACAAACTAAAAGAATCCGCCAAAAATTCAATCAAAGAGATCCGAATTCCTCTCCTATCACAACTGAATTAACAAATTCCGATATAAAAAAATAAAGAAATAAATTTTGAAAACAACATGCTCTCTCTTTAACCGATCTAATCAGCTTCCCGGAGAGAAATTATCCAGGAGGGGCCGTTCAAACCTGTGCCTGCCTTCAAAGGTAAGCTCGGTCAATATGCTCTCTCTCTTACATTAATCAAATTTGATTTTTATAAAAATAATATATTTTTTGTATGTTATAAAAATTGTGAGTTAAATAAATTTTAGGATGAAAATACAGCACTCATCCATGATTATAGGAAATTATTTTATTAAGTTTATTAATTATTAAAAATTATAAAATGATCTTCGATTATAAGATGTTTTTATTAAGTACTTGATCATTAGAAGTTAAAAATAATCATTTGACTATTTATATATTCTAAACTTATATTTTTTTAAAAAGAAAATAATGGTTGTCTGAATTAGATGTTAATTTATTGACTATAATATGATAAAATCATATTTTAATAATGTTTAATGCATTGTTTTTGCTTTCAAGTATTGGCTCGACGACATAATATTTTAAGCATTTACTTGACGACATAATGTAAACGGAGAGTCGATCTACAAAATACAACTCAAAAATTTTTAAAATCAAATTTTATCATATATAAATCAATATATTAATATTCAGTCGGAGAGAAATCCACTTGACTTTCGAGCAAGTGCATCACATATTTTGAAAAGAAAATTGTAAAAATGATTTTAAAATTTTAAAGGATGAGGAAAAAAAAGAAATTTGCATACTCAATATTTTATCAGAGAGATGTGAGCGTTTAATATAAAAAATTGAGAGTTATCTTTGAACATATATTGTTTTGTATTTACCTCAAATTAATAAAAAACATTAGATCATTGTTTTTAATTTTTTAGAGATGTCACTATATCTAACTGAAATGACAAATTTAAAATATATAAATAATTTAATGATTATTTTAGAATAATTCAACAACATAATAATATATAAAAATATTTTATAACATTTAATAATTAAATAACTTAACAAAACATGTCACTATATTGAGTATTATTTATATACTTTGCCTTAATTCTAATTAAATTGAATTTAAATAATAAGTTACACACTAAACTAAACACGAGCCAATCATCTTTAATGTCTGACTTGACTCAGCTTTTTGACAGTGATATGCTATTGGTAAAAACACACGTGACGACTTCTCAGAAATGAGACTTCATCCGTTCCGTCCGATTTTGGGATGGGGCGATACCCCGATAATATATCGCGAGAATTTCAAGACGTCGCCTTTGATCTGAAAGATATTCAATTTACATTTCACCAGTAATAGAAATTTCAATAAATAATTATACCAGATTTTATTTACAATTATAATAAATTTATATATTACAATATCTGGTTTTTTAATATAATATTTAAAATATTTCTAAATATATGTATTATAATTTTATAATTAGTTTTAAATAAAATGAAATAAAAAATTTTAAAGGCAACTTTTTAAAAGTGTGAAAAGTATCAGTCCACCAAGAATTTTGCTTTTATTTAGTGATTGATAAGGAAATTACGGAGATGACTGTGCTACAAAATTTATGGAATTTCATAAAAATCATTCATTAAAATATTAATTATTATATTTTAATAATATTTTGAGGAAATGTTTTTTAATTGTTAAATTACACAAAAAATACAATGTAAAAGAATGATGGCGGTACTTTGGCGATAACATTGTTAACAATCGGCTCTTCATTTGCCGTCAGAGGGTCGATTTGGCCGTTATAACGACGATCGTTTGTCAGAACGGTTCATACATCGGGGCGGACAGGTGTCGAAATCCCAATGCTCACCAATCCCATAAGATAGGTCGGTAACAGACCTGTGGCTCCATCTACAACGTGAATTAAGAAGGCAATACCCCACAAAAAAGGAGATGCGCTTCACACGCGCCTGAGGACAGTAATGAATTCATCGAAACGTACACTAAAGAAATAATTGGTCGGAACGTGCAACGCACGCGTTCGGTAGGCAATGATTTCTTTGTTGTGCTGGTGGTTTGCATCAGCGGCGAGATCCTCGCACGGCTGCACAGATCAAATAAATCGAAATTTTTAAAAAATATTATTTTATATTAATCTCATACTAATAAAAAATATCTTTAATGCATTAAGTTATGGATCAGAATCCTCTATGACATTTGTTGTCGTTATACAGTTTAATTTTGGACATTTCCATAAATAAGAAAATAATAAAAAATGAATATATGAATGTGTAAAATCTATATAATACGAATTATTAATTTGTTAAAACTTGAATAAAATATAATTTTATAACCGATTATAATACAGATATATGAACGGATGCATGAATTACCATGTCTTGACCTCTTTCCTAAACGAGAATAAACAAAATAAATAAATAAACACCAATGGTGTCGTATGATATATGAATCACCTGCCAGTCCCTTTATTCTACTGAAAATGTTATAATCAGCAGCAACATCCAGGCGCCTTCTTTCTGATCTACTACCAATGATTCACCATGTCGAGACCGGTTTCCGGATCTTCTATGATATGGCTTCAGCATCCTGCAAAATTCATGTCGAGGGTATGTAGGAGCTTCGTGCATATCGACACATCGATGTCAGAATTGGTTTAAATGAAACTGAAACACAAGGAAGCCAACATGTACAAGCATAAACCATTAAAAGCATTTATTTGAAAGATTCCAGAGCTTATATTGACAGTTTGTTGGAGCTTTGAGCATATCGTCACATTAAAACCGGAATTAGTTCGAACAAAACTGTAAAGCAAGGAAGTCAAATATGTGCTGCTTTATGCATCCAAGAGGACACTGATAATAAACCATAATTTGCATACGTAATCCATTACATTAGGTGAAATCATATTCATCTAATAAGCCTGCATTATATATATATATATCTTGTTTACTTATATTTCACTTTCAAATGGTAAAATGATTCTGTTTAAATTGATAACGGGTAAAGCCATCAAACCAATAAGCTATAAATTAACAATGCAGAAATAACATTGTATTGTGTTGGAAATGAAGTCACTTATGCCCAATCACTTTCATCATTTTTAGCAAGTCCACTCTATCACAAGCAATCAGACAGATACGTAACAACAAGATCAAGTTCATAAACTGGACTGTGCTTACCAAACCGTCTGCCATTTTACCAAAAGCATCATCGAAGCCCTCATCTTCATCCTCTGAAGCGCCAAAGAGATGATTAGCACATTTAATCAAAAGCAATTCCTGTAAGAAAAACTGATCAGGAAGTGTCGTTTTTTCATTTGCAACGATTTATAGGATAACATCAACGATCTTTACAGTAAAAGCAGTTATGCAAGACTCTAATACAAGAAAAACATAATCTATTTCAAGTGAATAACTTGATGTTTCAAGAAAGAGAAAGGAACAAGGAAAGAACGATTCGTACCAGGGCCTTCATCGCTGTCACCACCCAGTAGAAACACATCCAGTTCTTGCTCAGTAACTGAGGTCGTAATTTTTTCATGCTGCTTCGTTCCCTTTGCCTGTGGTTGAGATGTCATTTCAATGTTTGAAGATTCCTTCACTTTTTTTATCCAGGACTTTTTCTGCAGCTTTTCGCTCAACCCCTTCCATATACCGCTTCTCATACCTATATGTGATCATAAGTTGTATAGTTTACTCTAACAAAACAATGTTGACTTAAGCATAAGCAAATGCACATTACATTAGGGAAATCTCTAAAATGTACCTTCAAATCCAGATGACATGTAGAATTACAATGTGTTTCAATGAATTTGAAGATACAATTGAAAAGAAATCAATAACACAATTAAATAACTACGTTCTGAAGGCCAAACTATTCTTTGCCGGAATCATAAAGTTGAAACTTCTTATTTTTGGTTAGAAAATTTTATGAATTCTTAAAACACGTCAATTAAAGGAGAAGTGCATGGATGCAATCATAACCTGAACTACCTACATTTTAGTAGAAGCTCATTTTAAAAGAAGTTGAGACGGAACAGTGTAAATTACGTAAAAGACAAAATGGAGGCTTAACATGCCAACACAGATTAATTACAGGGCAACATGATTGTTTACCAGTATAAAGTATATCCTCCAGAATTTCCTCTCTCTCATAACATGCGGGCACAACTCGAATCTTAACTTTGATATTTCCTGGAACAATCAGTTAATGTGAATAAGCTCATGCATGTATGATTATGCTTACCAAGCTAATGATACAAAGTTTAACTTCATAGTTTATACAATATAAATACACATTTAGACTGGTCACTTCTCCCGTTAAGACTTCAGGATAGAAATTCTGTTTTAAATTCAACGTAAAAAGATAGCATCCCAGAATGCTGCAAGCAATTCAAACCTAACTTAATGTTTTAATCCAAACAAAAGACCAAATATCCAAAAAGATGGAGATAGAAGACCATAATCTTTCAGTAATCAAGTTCAATCTAAACCACTTTAAAAATGGATCACTGAAAAAAATAACAGAAAAAAATTGTATTTTAATTAGATGCAAGAGGACTGAGTTTTCGAATCTTATTCTTGGATGGTACCTTTCAATATCTCGCATGTTCTTTTCTCAACGATTCTAGAATCTGGTAACTACCGTTCTTCATTTACTATATCTCATAAAATTGGAAGATATCTATCGGGCGATTCAGATACTTTTTGGGTTCGTCGGATCACAATTCACACATAACTAAATAGATAAAAACAACTGAGTGGAAAAAAAGTAATGCAAGTGCATCTATATGCAGTTTATGTAGTTTTTGAACATAGTATTTTTTATGTTATTTGCATATGGATTCACTTAATATTTTAATCATTCAATGTATAATTTACATTCTTAGAGCCTTTAAAATGAATTTACACACATACTATAGGAATAGGAAAGCTTGTTTACTCAAAAAGATTAAAAATATGCTAGGAATTAAGCATGCCATAAACATATATGTACCTTAACTGTTGAAAGTACAAGCTTTATATGTTTTTCTTGCCACTCTGTAAGATCCTGCCTTACATTTGAGAATGTGGGAACTGCATAACCATTTTTTAGGAAAAAAAAAATTAAATATTATTTAAAAAAACAATTATGATTTTTATTTTGAAAAATTGGTGATTTGAAATTAATTTGGATTAAATTTGATCGGAGTCGCCATCGACATTTGGGATAGGTAGGTCGAATAGCTAAAAACGTCTTTTAAAAATGATTTCAAGAAAAATCATTTTTAAGACAAAATTCGGTCTGCGTTTACCAAAAACTCAATTTTAAGGGCCCAGGAGTAGGTTACGTGTAGGGAAGGATTAACACCCCCACAGCGTCCAAAATTGGTACTGTTTTGCTTACACGTTGTCGCGAATGGTGGAGAGTATAAACCGAATATAAAGTATGAATACGATTCATTTATTGAAGATTAGATAATTTGCTTCGAATTGATTGTTAGGAAACATTCCTTAATTCGAGAGGAAATTACAATATTTGCACATCCTCCAATGGGAAGGCTATATCGTCTATTTCTCCTTTATACAAGAAATATTTCCCTCACCATTGTTATAAAAAACACAACTTGAATGTAAACTGAAAATTGGCGTTTGCATAAAATAACGTAAATTGTTATTTTAAGAAAAATACATTACATTATTTGAAATAAAAAAATTTGATTAGTAAAATAAAAAAGATTAATTTCAAGTTCCCATTTCGTTAAAATGTCATATCAGATCGCATCACTTCGACCAAGTGATACTTTCCATGCTTATTCTACAAATTGATTCTTGAAATATTCGAATAATATTAATATTTAAGGAAATATAATAGAAACAAATGTGATTGAAAATGTAAAATAAAATATTTACAACATAAAATAATAACATTTATTTAATGTTATACTTAAAATATATATAACATGTGAAATATGTACATTCATAAGGGACTAAAACAAAACAATAAAAAATTTACATATCAAACTGTAAATAACCAAATAAACATATTTAAAAATTTAAGGGACCAAAATATGATTAACATAAACTTGAAGGACTGAAAAGTGATTATAAATAACTCAGGGCCACAAACAAAAATATTAGACAGTATAAGCATCAGAAACGAAAATAATCCATAAATAATGTTTAAGGACTAAAATAAATTACACCAGAAACATGAAAGACTAAATAATAATTAAACCATAATATAACAATATACAGCACAATGACTAAACTGAAATAATTATAAATCTCATGACCAAAGTCAAACATTGTTAATAATAATAACAGAATAAGTAAGAACATGACTAAAATACAAATAATGAAACATTAGTGCTCAAAATAAAATAAAACAGAACTTCATTAAATGACTAATAATAGAACATTACAAATGTGGGGGACCTAAACTACAATTTGCACCCAAAAATTAAAAACAAACGGGTGAGATTAAAAAACAGAGGGACTAAACATGTTATTTTCCCTGAAACCTCAAAAACATGGAGAAAAGGGGAGACGAAACTACGTCGTTTCCAGCGTGGGATTTAAGGCCAAAACAAGGCCAAAATCCCTCACTTCATCCATTTTTCTCAATCAGACAGAGAAAAGAGAGGGAGAACTCTCTTAAATTTCCCTTATCAGAGAAAGGAAGGCTGCCGTTTGCCGGTGGCGTTCCACAGCGACCCACGGTGTCCAGAGAGAGTAAAAAACTCCCAATACATTCCTCTCAACCCTCTTAACTCGAAACCCAATCATGTTCGGGCTAAAAATAACCCTAGCTTCCTAGATTTATACGACGACCTGTATGCTTCCCGAAACTCCTCCGACCAAGGTATGTTCATCTGTTTCCTTTCTTTTTCTTGTTTTTGTTTTTTTTCTTTTGATTCTCTTTGATTTTTCCTTTGATTTTGTTTTTTTTCTCTTATGTTTTGAAAACAGTCTTAGGTTTTCCTGTTGGTTCCAAAATATTTCCCCAATGGTTCTCTCTATCTGGCTTTTTATCTTTTGCATATATGACTTCTGATTGATTTCTGGTGAGCTCTTCATAGGGAATGGTATCCCTATGTTTAGGCTATTAAATTTATGATGAGATCTTGGATTTGATGAGATTTGCTTCTCCATTATTTTTATTTTTTTCTGACTGTTTGATATGATTTAGTGCATATTTGTCAACGGTGGTGTCAGAGGCGGTCGACGAAGGTGAAGCTTGGCTTAAGCAGCTCACGTGCACGGGGAGATGGGTGGTGAAACCTCACGCGCCGATGGGAGCTGGAAGGTTGGCGGCGGCTGAGCTGATGGCTTGATGTATTAGGGTTAACCCTAATCTGGGAATGCATCTGGGCTTTTGATTGTCATCAGATCCAATGGTGGAGAGCTGGAGGTGGCTGGAACTTTAGATGAAAACCCTAACGGGTATGGGCCTGGTGCTGGTCCGGTTCAATTCAGGTCTGGATCGGATCCTGGGCTTAAACCAGGTTATAGTTGGGTTGGTTGTTGGGTTCTGGTGGGTTGGGCTCATTGGGATTCGGGTTATGGAGCTTGCTAAAATGTAAAAATGTAATAATAATAATAATAATGATAATGATAAAATAATGATAATAATAATTAATAATATTTTTTAGACCCGTAAAAAATGGGTGTCTACAGGTGCCCCTCTTTGCACATTCTTGTGTTAACAAGAATAGGGCAAAGACGAAAAAGAAAACAAGTTTTTATCCGGTTCTCTTTTTTTGTTTTGAAAATTTGATATGTTTTTTGTTGGGGACGACACTGCTCATACGTGATGATGAGTTCTGGTCATCTAAGGGTGACACAACTCCTACGTGATGAGGAGATATGGTCGGTGGATGACACGATTCCTATGCGATGAGGACGGCTGGTTATCTAGTGGTGACACGGATCCTACGTGATGAAGAGGTATGGTCGGTGGATGACATAGTTCTTACGTGATGAGGAAGATAAACCATCTTTAGGGATGATAACACAGTTCCTACGGGATGAGGACGACTAGTTATCTGAGGGTGACACGGCTCTTACGTGATGAGGAAGTCTGGTCGGGGAATGATACGATTCCTACATGATGAGGATAACAGACCATCTTTAGGGATGATAATATGGTTCCTACGTGATGAGGACGAATGATTATCTGAGGTTGACACGGCTACTACGTGATGAGGAGGTCTGGTCGGGGGATGAAACATTTTCTACGCGATGAGGATGGTTGGCCATCTTTAGGGATTTGTTTCAAGAGAAACTGTCTCAAGGGAGACAAAATTCGTTTCAAGGGAAACGATCTCAAATATTGGTGTTTCAAGATAAACTATTTCAACAGAGACAAAATTTGTTTCAAGACAAACATACTCAAAGATTATAAATTTTGTTTCCAGTGAAACAACTTCAGAATTTGTGTTCTAAAGAAAAATGTCTCAAGCGAGACGAAATTTGTTTTGAGAAAAATTGTCTTAAGCGAGACAAAATTTTGTTTTTTTAGAAAAATGATCTTTAGCGAGACGACGCTTTGTTTTGAGAGAAACAATCTCAAAGGCAACAACTGATCTACTTGTTCCTGCATGTGGAGGAAAGGCCTTCAGAAGATCTGATTATTCACTTCAGGATGTTCAATCTCCAAAGATGCCCCATCATTCATATTTTCTTTCTTCAGCAATGATTCTAAGCATGAGCTTTGTGTCTGAGAGCCACATGTCAACTACTAAGATCCACTCCAGAGATATTGTCTTGTTTGAAAAACGTTTTTCTTCTTCTTTTATTTTCAAGAGTCTGAAAATATCAATTAAAAGGATCTTGAAAAATTCTTAATCAAAAGTTTGAAAATTTTACCCCTTTCTAGGTTTTTATAATTCAGGTAAATCATAAAACAAGAGCTCATTGGATATCGAAGAGTTAATTACACTTTTAATCCTTTAATAAATTATAGCCATTTGACAAGTGTCAAGATTAATGCTATCTTTGAGGTATGGTTAAGTAAGGAGGGGATAAAATGTCTCAGGTTATTGTCTTTTGGTTAAAGGTTTGTTTTTCTTATTTTTTTATGTTCACTGATCTGATGGAGTTGTTTCTATACTCGTCTACTAGAAGTGTTCTCTGACTCCCAGCTCTCATGATCACACTCGGGTTGTGCAATGCCTTATCAAGGGATTTGTGATATCGCCTTTTATACAA